AATCGATCAATACATATACTATGTGTTTCACAGCCCTGGCGGTCGGTTGATGCTGCTCACGGCGCTGTAATGTCCCACTGGCAGAACAGTGGGTGGTAAAAGTTCAAAACCTCCATCAGCTTCTGAGCCTTTTCATCCTCTCATCATTACCAGGGAAGAGATGTTGTATGTAGCTACAACATAAAAGGTCTGCACAAACACTGCTGGCGTAGCGACCGCAGTCAACTCACCAAACTTTACTTTCCTGCATTCCTACAACCCCAGGCATTTGCGTCTCTTCATCCCACCCACACTACTCCCTGAAAACAGGTGCACGCACAATTGTGTTGAAATGCCCAATGCTTGCATAATTGAGGCCATCCTTTCTCACTGTGCATTTTAATAGGTGTGAGAAACGAGCGGCCAAAACATTACACTGACACTTTACATTACCTTAAATTCATGCAAAATACAGCATATGTTGAGTTCTGCGTGTCAGTTCAGGTTTGTCAAGAGATAATCTTTGCAGGCTCGTCTAAATGAAAATCCATTGGGTGTGGAGGAAAGCACAATCCACTGGGATTGTTTTGCCTCATGGTTTATTAAAGTGAAGCCACCTTAACAGGAAAAAAACAGACAGTGTTTATGCTAAAATACCAGCCCATCCGTTCTATGCAAAGACTATTCATCCGTAATGAGGGAACACAGAGGCTAGCTGCGCCGCTGCCCTGATGAATTATGAAACAGCCGAGACCTTTGATTGACCTGCGACTTATATCCTCTGAGCTGCTTGTATACAGAACATACTGTGGATAATAAAACCACTGCAAAAGGCCTGCCTTAAGCAGTGCATGATAAAATGTGCTACTGCAGCAGCTATGGCATCCGCTTGCTCAAAAGCTTCCTCTGCAAGCCTTCATTTACCTTTCCGCTCATATTAAATCACTCCAAATGTTACACGGACACCAAAACAACTGCAGCAGTGGACTTCTGTTAGGTTGCCCTCAGCTGTGTGCATTCAAGGGAGAAGACACAAAGCACAGTACTCTCTGCAGGGCACCAAATCTGTGACATTGTGCAGGGCATACTCACTTATCTGCCTTTTTATTAATAGAACAGGCTAATATTCAAGTCAAATATATTTTTTTAAATGTTAGTAAAAATGTATAATTTTGCAAGCCTGCCATCATAGTGAGAGGCAAACCACAATGCTCTTTTAAATTTGGCTTTATTGAGGACATTTATAGTGTTTCACCCGGTCCACACAAAAAAATGTTTGAAGAATTCTAAAAGAGAATTTGAGACGGAGAGTGAATGTGGGTAGTGCGTTTAGGCGAACACAGGGAATGCTGTGCGGCCAAAAGTTGAAACAGAATCAACTTTTGGAGAGACGCAACCCAACGTCACACTGCGATGGCCAATCATGTAACCGGCGATCAGACCAGAAGACGCCCACTGGAAGAAGAGCCCTGTTTACCATGTAGCATTGTAGCATCCCGCTGTTTACCGAGCATCCAAACCTACTGGATTTGGGGGGGGGGGGGGTTAAAGTTCACAACGTGACGTCAAACAAATGGGCTATTTAAGCGACACTTGCACACCACAGGCATAACCCTGGGCTAATTGCCGCAACACCTGATTTTATGTGAATGCAGCCATTGTTAGTCCATCCAAGCGTACTGATGCGTTAGGGTTAGGAAAAACTTCATAGTTTGGATTAAGATAAGTACGTAAGTAAAATACGTAAGCATGTCACAAACGTAACTTCACACTTACTCAACAACACTTTGGGACACAAACTCTGGTCTCCTGGGTGAAAGTCCTGGGTTTGCTTGCTAGCTCCCAATTTCTGAGTAGAATAGAAGCATAAACAACGGGATGGTCGTCCCAAACCTCCTTAACAAAGCTAAGGCAACATGTGCTGCTAAATAACAGAATCCAGAGGATATAAAGTGGTATGTTTAATTGTCATAACTGTTTGAATGTATTGTTTACTTCTACAAAAGTGTCATATGCGTAACAGTAGGTTTTACCATTATCTTATGTTAATTAGGTTAAGGATGCAGTATAAACTGACAGTCGTATCGTATCGTATTGCATCTTATTCACAGAAGTTACACCTAGAAACCGTTTCCACAAATATGTTCAAAAAAAAGTTTCATCCTCTTTTATTAAAAGGAAATGGAAAATTATGCAAAAATAGCTGCAGCATCATAATATTTTACACTTCTGTTCACAGGAGAATTCAAATGCCTGTTCAGCTTTTATGTTGATATGAGAAAGTTGCAGGCTAGTAAGTACGATCAAATTGATATAAACCTTGAAGCGTGGAAAAGAATAAATTGATCTCTCCCTGCCGGTGTAATTGAGTGTTTGTTGTGATGTGTGTTTGCCTGATGACGATCACCGGCTGGAGCTATGCGCTTTCCACCTTTATAGTTTCCAGCTATATTACTGATGACACGGATGACATGAAATGCAGCAAAATGAATATGGGTAAATTAACTAGTTATATAACATGTAATATAAGCACTTTATGAGTGAGCCGTTAATGTAAGCACAGACGAAGTTATTCGATTTGAAGGGCATGTGGACCACTATATCACTGACACCAATATATCAACCTCCCCCAACAGTTTAAAAATTCACATTGAATTATTACAGCCTGGCAAATGAAGCAAGCGTACAATATGTCCCACACTAACATCCTCCAAGAAATAAATATCTCCCGGACACAAGTTAAAAGCCCCGAGGCTACAAAATCAATATTTCATAGGCAGGAGGTGATAAAGAGTCTTGATCCAGCTCCTGCTGTCTTTGAAGCAGCCAGAAGTCCAGCAGCAAGCAGCAGGATGGCGCGATGCCATCTGAAGCTATACAGCCAAGTGGATTTGGGCCACTGCACAAATTTAACAGGTATAGGAAAGAGTTGGCTGCGCTTCGCCCTGCAGTGTGTTGATAAGTTTGGAAATAAAAGCCTGGGTGACCATCACAGGGTGTATGTGGAGCTATTTATCCACCGACTAGCAAACTGTGGCCCTGTCACTTTGGAATGACCCTGTGGTGAATCGAAGGCCAGAGGATAAAAGTATCTGCACAGGCTGGGTCATTGCATTACCGCTCGGCCATTCCAACTGCCAAGGCTCAGGACTCATTTACTGGAGACCTGATCGATACCAGGACCACGAGATCAAACTTCAGATCCAAAGGTGATTGAGACCAAAAATCAAGTTCTTGTATGTTGTGTACGTAGTAGTAACTTAATGTAGTAGTTTTTATACCTGGTGTTTTCCTGTTATATGTACTTCTAGTCGAGGCTGGGTTAACAGGAGTCCAGTTGTTGATAGCAAACCCACGGTGGGTTTTGATTTATGGGATTTCCACCAATTGATAGCACCACTGCAATGCAGCATGCCTTTTGTTCACGATCAGGCTGCATTAATTATATTCCCCGCAGCAGCAGCGTTTACATTCTTTAATTTGTTTTGAGGGACAGTGGGCTGCACACATGCTGACAGAACTGGAGTTATATCCATGCCACTTAACATGTTATGTTATTTCCCCATGTCTCACTACTGAGTGGGAGACGACCAGATGATCGCTTTGTGTACATTCAATCAGAGCAGAGAACTCATTCAGACTCGTCAGTCCCCAAACTGACCTCGACAAACAGACAATGTCATTTAATTCATTTTTCCCTCTGACGATCTTATTGTATTTGATTAATATTTCATGAATTGTTTTTAGTGTTTAGTAGATTGTTTTGTATTGCATTTAGATCCATATGTGTTGGCCTGAGGTTGCACCAAATGTAAAACATTTAGACAGATAGAAAAAAAGACGTGGGGTCAATAGGGGCCCCACAGCCCAGGAGTACTTTAATTAAGTGAGACATGAAAGAAAAGTCACAAAAAAATCAACATCCATTTGTGAAACTGATTTCTTTCCCCCTTTAATCATCTAATGACCCTCTGGATTTTTCTTGGAAACTCCCTGGGGGGGGGGGGGGGTGTCAACCCCTGCAATGGTAACCGCCGGCCAAAATAAATAAGCTTTTAAATAACCACAAGCTGGCACAGAAAACCTGGAGCCACATACTGTTCTTCAATAGGAGCACTGTCTGTTTCTGGCTCTGGACCAGATGTATATGAAGATATCACATGTCACATGCTGTGTGCTCTGTCCTTGATGGCTGTTGCAGAAATGGGGGGTGGGGTCCCCATTGGTCATCTATGTCCCGGTGCCCCCTAGTAGGTTAGTCTGGTCCTGCTGCTGCGATTTTTTGGGTGTGTGTGTGTTCGTACTGTTTGTTTCGTGATCCTGTGAATTTCCCCACTGCGGGACTAATAAAGGATTATCTTATCTTATCTTCACTCTTGCTACTTGTTGTCATGTTTTTTGCAGCATGACAGCAATGCCATATCGTTTCCCTACATTATTTTTGCATATCCACATATGAAAAGACAATAAGCTTGAACTTAAGACCAAAACAAATCAAATCCCAGCTAAGACAGTAGATCAAAAATAGACAATGAGTAGAAATTAGTGCCTACCAATAAACAAAAACATTTTATTACTGCTACTTTGGACATTAAAACAAGCTACCTGCTAATACCTGATACCTGCTAACTAAACATTAATTTCAGCAGACCCCATGGATGAGGTCAGAGGTCAGCACTGCTGGAACTGGAAAAAGGGATTCAGCAGTGTAGCCTACTCTGCTAAATTTATGAATGAATGAAAATGTAGAGCAGAAGAGGGTCTGTTTGGAAGAAGCCCCAAATACACACAATGTTGAGGAAGAGACAGCGTGGCGACCCAACTGTTTGTCTCGTCATTCTCTGATCCATACAAAACCGCAGATGTGCAAAAGGGTTTGTTTTTGTTGAACGCACTGGCGGTGAGATCCACCTCCTCGCCACATGGAGGCGCCGCAATCCCGCATTCCTGCGACCCAATTGCTTGTTTGACAGTAAACCAAAAAAAAAAAAAAGTAGCGGAGCCGTTACAGCAAAAGTGGGGGCTCCTTTTTTGAACGCTTTTGCTCGACATCAGATGCTCCCTGTGCGGGCTGAGGAGGGGAGCAGGCAGCCGGCGCTTCTGCAAAGAGGGGGGGGATTTCTGCGGTGAGCGGAGCCGAGCGCGCAACTTCTCTCCAGTCCCGCTGTCGCTGCGCAGCTGCCGGAGTTTCCTTTAGGATTTCCTCCTTGTGACAAAAGCGAGCTGGACTTTACTTCATCTGCCAACATGTATTCAGCAGCACTGCTACTGATGCTGGCCGTCAGGATCTACGCAGACAGCATGGAGGGGCCAACAGGTAAAAAAAAAAGAAAAAAGAAAAGCAAGGAAAAACAAACGTTTGGGTTGGGCGAGACGCGCAGCGCTCACCTGGAAAATCCCCTTTCGCTGTTGTTAAAGTTGATCGTTGCGGTTTTAAAGTCGCTCTTTCTCTCACAGTCCGGACATTGTATGCTGAAGTCACTGTTGCAATTTTGCTCTGCAACTTCAAAAGTTGTCTCGGACTGTGTGTGTGTGTGTGTGTGTGTGTGTGTGTGTTCAGCGGTTAAAAAACATCCAAAGCCTGACTGCAAATCAGTAGCGTGAACTTTCTCCTTTTTGGAACATGCAACGTTAATAACCCAGAGGGCATGAAATAGGGGATTTTCTGCAACCTTTTAGAGTGAAATCACATCATCTTTTCATTACACGACTCAGTGGTATTTTCTGATTACTGTAATTTGTAAGGACATTCCCTCTCGAGATTAAATCCAAGTTCGAAAATATTCTTAGAAATGAAAATGGGCTCATTATTTGCATCTCTCTCTCTCTCTCTCTCTCTCTCTCTCTCTCTCTCTCTCTCTCTCTCTCTCTCTCTCTGCCTCTCTGTCCTGTGGTGTTCAGCACCATGACGTTCACTGTTATGTTTGCATTGTGCAGGCTTCAATAGGTGGCAACACTACTCCCATCCTCCAGTGTGTCATGCCAGGGAATGTGAATCACATCCCAGTGATGAATTCATCCCTCCACTGGTCTTTATTTACCGCTGATGTCTGTGAAATGGGCCGCTAACTTGCCTGCGTGTGAGTGGTATTGATGGAACATGTTGCATAATTATGTTGCTGATGCAGGGGATGATTCGCTCGACTGGTTTCAGTGTGTAGAAAATCAGCCATCAGAGGCGTTTGGTGGGAACAAATTAGGAGGAGTGTGTGTGTTTTTTTTTTGCTGCAGCGAAGCAATACAGTGGAGATGAATTAGTAATGTCAGTGTTGTGCCCCAAATAAAAACACTCCAAATGTTCCCTGTGTGTCAGTCAGTCAGACAGAGATTTGAACAGAGCCTATCGGAGATATAGCAGTTCAAATCCTCTTAAGTTTTGCCTGTGGCGAGGTTAACATTTGAATGGTGGAAGATTTTCCGAGGCCTCCGAACCTTGACTTTTGAGGAATGCTGTGGAAGAAAATGCCTCAGGTCAAGTTGTCTCAAGACAGTTGGTTTATCTCAAGAATGCTTTGCAGCACATGTGAATGTTGCAGCCTCGATATAAATACTCTACATGGGTATCGGTGACACAGCCGCCTAGACCAGTTGCCGAAACAGACGAGCACTGAGCCACTCCCCGCTCTCCAGGATCAAGTTGGTTCTGTGGGCAAGATTCATCGTAGCGAGCCAACTGTCTTATGAGATTACACAGAACAGAGAAAACTGTCTCTTCACCATCTGGCAATCATTCAGTTTATGTGTTGGCAATTCATGCTGTTGTCATTGCATTGGACAAATGGTGGTCCACATAGGAAGCAATAGGTCAAGACCAACCTGGTCTCTCTTGGGCTGTGTATCGAACCTCAGTACCTCTTTTAGTACCGACTGAAATGTGTCCACCTTCTATCTTAAAAGTACAGAAACTTGGCATAGAATGGTCAGAATTGTAATGTCGTTCACTTAATCATTGACTTGATGCTTCCTGGTTGAAATCAAAATTGATTTAAAGTTCAAAGTTCTTGTATTGCTGCTTTTGTTCGGACATTTTAATACTAATTAAAGTACGGTATCATGTTGGCCCTATTAGGGCTACAACTAATGATTATTTTCATTATCAATTAATCACTTGATGATTTATTTTCAATGAATCAATTGATCTATAAAAGGTCAGAAAATTATGAAAAATGCCCATCGCTATTTCCCAAAGTCGAAGATGACTCATTCAAATGTCTTGTTTTGTCTCAACCAGCAGGCAAACACTCGAATATATTGAATTTACTGTCATAGAGGACTGAGGAAACCAGAAAATATTTACCTTTGAGAAGCTGGAACCAGAGACTTTTGAATCGAAAAATGACTCAAAATAGTTGCTGAGTAATTTCCTGTGCGTCGGTGCTGTAAGTGCGTCTAACTAGTAGTGAAAATGTCAACAACACCCAGGCCTCCCCGTGTCAGATCTGTAGTCTTTGCCATTGCTTCGGTATCCTGAGATACAGCAAAGCTTCGATATCGGTGCCAATACGACATCTTTGTTTCATGTTCTCCCTTGGTTTGAGGAATCTCAACTTTTTACCTTATTTGTTTAAATTCAAAGAAATATGCAATGCATCAGACATGTGCCTATAATATAGCTATATGTTAGTAAAGCTTGCTGGATTTTGAGCAGAGAACATATTTTATAAAAACAAGTTAACAAGCCCAAAGTGCTACATGTATTGGCTGCATTGCGGAGGGTTGCATCATTTGATGCATTTAAATTGATTTCAACCCGGTTGGACCAAAATGTGATAAAATGCTGATTTTTCTTCTTTTAAGATGAGGCATTAGTTGTGAACTTTCGACACGTGACACTTGTTGCTACTTGATACTCTGGACACATTTTGATTGATACTGTAAAAGCATGGAGGCTGCGAAACCTTCAGAGACTGAGCCTTGCAGTTTGTTGACGTCATGCGGCAGAATCTATGAAGTTTCAATGTCTCCATCGTCTTTAGGGATGCCAACAAGTTGTGTCGTGCAGCTTTGATGCTTAAAAAAAACTGTTGCACTTCGGTTGCATTCAGGCAAATGCTCCAGTATTAGTGGAGGGCCTGCGTGTGGCTGCTCTTGGAGCTCTTTCACCTCAGCTCCATAGTTTCACCTACAGAATGTGCAGTGGTTTAGGTTGAAAACTCCCGTGTTGGTTAAGTGCAACCGGCCCCTGTTAGCGGGGGCTATGGGGAACCAGAGCAAGAAGGTAATTTAATCTTAAAAACGAAACCACTTGAGCGAACCCCCAACACTGAGCGGCCCTGACACGCAGCTCCAAACACTCCGAGATTGGAGGTCGGAAGGAGGTTAGCTTGAAAAGACCATACTGGAATGGGCGCTGACACGAGAAGGTGGTCTTTCACGGGCTGCTGGGAGGATGTGGAAAGGGTTCTCGGTGTGTAGCGGCGTGGATCCGGCTCAGTGTTAATCCAACAGAAAATAGCCTGACACACACAGAGCTCTCCTGGGGCAAATGTGGCGGCTGTAAATGGAGAAAATGGAGCGTATGCTCGCACACAAAAGCCAATGATGAAATTTGGTTGTTCTGGAGGAAATAACATACGATTCTCTAATGGAACAATGGCATAATGGATACACGTTGTTCAAGAAAATGAGTACATCCTGTAATTAGAGTTCGGGATAATGAGACGGCACAAGGAACAAGGGTTGTTTCAACACCCATTTTATAAAGGAAGAGAAATCTCCGGAATCTATCACTTTACTTCCACATCTTTTTTCCAGACGGTTACAAGTCCTCAGAGCTGTGGGACCACAATCTAGAAGTGTCTTTTTGGCTGAATGGATGCAATTAAGCTGGAGATGGATGAACATTTGAAATAATTGACACATTTCACCCTTCCCCTTTCTGATGCAGCATTAGACGGGTTGCATACTGCAAACATGAGCTCGCTTTTCTTCAGTTAAAATGGACGGGTCAAGCATAACATGTGTGGACATATTAATTCAATCAGCCAGACGCTGGCTGCCAGTGAGAGCAAAGCAGCCCGGCTGAGGTGGAAGTCAGTAAGGCCTTTCCTTCCCCGCATTCCACCACTTTGATGGCTTTGGAGAATTTTTTAATTGCCTCTTCTGTTAGTCGCCAGTCGTTCGCCTCTGAGAGTTTTATTGGCAGTGTGGCTAAAGCAAACTTGTGGAGATGTTCGACAGAATTAACATTTTACTTTTCATCATCACAAGAGAAGACTCCATGGGAGTTCTGAGGCCTGTGAATAGCTGGAAGACTTGGCAAACTTCCATGACTTTTTATATAAACCTGCAGCGCGATTACTTCTATCTATCTAAAAATGATTTCCTCTTATCATCGAGGGAGGAGTTAGGGCTGCTGTTGTGCAACTGAAGTCAATTTCCTCCAAGGGAGTTAAGTTGGTGAAATGCAATGTCGCCTCCAACAGACCTTTGTGCCCGTCTAAGCCGAATTCCAGCTCCGTCTGCTCCATCTTTCTTTCACCGTCGTGTATCTTCAGCGGTCAACAGTATTGAGCAATAACACATTATCTGTTACAGTAGTGTGATTAGTTTTCCCCCCCCCCCCCCAAGGATTACGATTTGAGATTTGCTGTCACTGTGCCAAAAGTGGACAAATTGTTCGGGGACTCGCTAGTCTGATGCAGGAAGGCGGTTATGCCACGTTTACTTCATGAAGTTAAAACTGTAATTAGGAGCAACCAGTTTGTAAAAGCTGTCCACGTTATCGATAATTCCAAGGCGGGAATTTGTGTGGCAGCATCACTATAATAAGTGTCAACAGGCTGTCGGCAAAATGGCTGCAAAGCCACCATCGCTGGTAGTTACATATAATTAAAATGCGATACAAACACTCTTAAGTAAGCTATTATAGTCTATTTAAATGATGTGACAAGGCTAGTAGTTGACGTAACTACACGTGAGCACACTACTGAATAACTGGATGTTTTCTCGTTTTTTTCCCCCAACTCCACTAAAATAGTTTGAATGCAGCGTTTGCCTCCAAAAGAAGAGAAATACGGCTTATTTACATGCGGTGTTTCCTTGACTGTCGTGCTAACGTTAGCCGTTGGTGAATTGAATGGTTTGAAGTCGACCAAACGACATGTCGCTCAGTCACGGTGGAAGCGATGACACCGTCGCTGACCCATTATCGCCTTGTGCAATATGTTTTGTATGACATTAATCTACCAGCGCTGCTGCTGCTGGCGTGTGCCCGTCACCGCCGCGCGTTGTTAATGGAGCTGACAGAGCTGCCAGACTGGCTTGGCCTGGATCCACGAGGCGTCTTTGAGGGGACAACCAGAACTGGCTTTGCCT